CCAGTACATTGGTCGAACTGCAGGAACACTTCCACCAGGTTTTCAAACTATATTCCTCGAAACCTTGTAGTGAATGGTCAAACGCCGCCTGTCAGTTTGATGTTCCGAAATATGCTTGACTGCTCCATGTGTGAAAACCCTCGGGAATCATTTAGCCTAATCAACCAACAGAGCGTCGCCCGCCTGCTTCAGTCCACTGGAGGGCTCGGAGATTAGGCAGCGGAAACCCAGTTTGTGTAAAAAGACCGAGTTTGTCGCCAGTCTCGTCCTGCGTTGGTGAGGCTGGTGGCCACATTCCTCTAGGCGCAGTGACGGCCAGCATCAGATTAACTTTGACCCTAGCCCTCTTTGATCGAGGGACTCTTCCGGGTCGTACGCTTAATCATACAACAAATCACCGAGGCCTGTGGTAACCAGTATCTATGTTATACGCCAAGGAACGTGTACAAGTTCGTCTAAGCTAGTTGGAACGGCATGTGACCTGTCTTCGCACTATCGGTAGCTCTTACTGTACTAAATAACGACCGGTTAACAACATGTGGTCTATCATTGCAGCGAGAACCCACTGTAATCGTAGTTTACAGTAAGTACTGCTACCCCCGAGTGAATCCTCGCAGAGCTAGAGGCAATTCCAACTGAAAGCCACGATGTGCCTCACTCGGGGTGGCCGCACATTGCTTTTAAAGAAAAACATCAGTGAACGTCGACAAGAAATATATCAGTGGTGTTAAACGGGTTAGAGATCGAGCAGTTGCAAAACACGTGTATTGTTACTTCGTACATATTGCACCACATTTTGACAGTGGTGCAGCGTTACGCAGGCACATGCTTTTGCAACAACCGGCTCCAAGAACTGCATCCTCCATTCAGTCTGGCTCAGTACGCCATCCGAATCCCCTTGGAGAATTTCGAAATATCGCCGCCTCATGGTTTGGTTAACGTGAGCCTTAATGATACTCCAAATGTCTTCGAGTGCGTTTAATTGCGGAGAATACGGTGCCAGTCGTAGAAGTCTTCCTGGGCCGTAAGGCTCCTTTTGGAAGATACGCTCCAGATCGTTGTGACAGGGTGCGTTGTCACAAATCAGGAGACACCTTTCGGCGAACTGGACGCCATTGGTGTCAATCAGTGGCCGCAACCATCGTGCACATCTTTCTTTATTCTAACTGCCTCTTAGGACACCAAATCCAAGCAATCCATCCTCATTCATCGCGCTGATCAGGTGCAGATTTTGTCCTTAAATGTTCGGTACCGTTCAGCGCGCGCGGGTGCTACGTGCTAAACGTCCTTTTGTGCGAGTGCAGAACTGATTAAACTTCGTCTCATCTATCCATACTGCTCGCCGTCTTTCTGTCTCCAAATTCATCAACTTCAACACGTGCGCCTTCCTTAGCCTTTTGCTATCCATCGTATTAATGGATTCTGATAGTGCATGTACCTTCTTCACTGTCATGAGGCGACCGTCTAGGTAGAGAGCGATTGTGCTGTCGCTCACGTCCACCTCGAACTCCACCTTCAGTCGTAACCGAATAGTTGCCAAGGTAACCGTAGAGTCAGATTCCACCCACTCCACCAAGTAATCCACTTGACTATTTGACAGACAATTTCGACGCAACACTCTACGATCCCTTGTCAGCTCAGTAAATTCTAATTTTCTTATCTAGCTTCCACATGTCTTCACATTTACCTGTAAGACAGATGCAATGGACAGTTGACGGGCGTACGTTCCTCTTCTTCCCATCGCGCGTAAGGTGATCAAGATGTTAAAATCCATATAACTCAAATTAAAGACAAACTTGGTAGGTGAACTATGAGGAAACTTTTCTTTTCGCCTTGCCCATTGCGTGCGGTTCCCGTGCAACTAAACTTGGGGAAAGCTGAAGTGACAACTCCGCTGACCAGCGACGAACTGTCGGAACCGTATATACGTTTCCTTTTGTATGTCAGACGCTTGATACCATCTATAGACGTTTGTATCAGTTGACGTTTCGGAACTAAACTTATGCCCCCCTTATGCCAAGCGCGTTCGATGTCCGCGGTTTGGCTATCACGTTTTCCCGTTCAGGCCATTTGGCTTACTGACCCCGACATTCTTACACCACTCACGCGTTGCACACGTACGCAATGCGAGGTGCACGGCTGACTATTCATATCGATCTGGATTAAATTTAGATGGGTATTTGATTAAATTTTCTACATTACGAACGAAACATAGTGAGTAAAATATTAAACAGTTTAAGTCTGTAATCAATCAAGAATTGTATACCTACCGCGCCAACGCCTCGGCAACGGTAGGTGCTATGGCTTTTGCTAATACATGGATGACGGACATTGGGCGATTTGTTCGGAGCTTTGTCCTACTTTAGCGCTTGTGAATCCTAGTTATTATTCTAAGTTTCCACCTCCCAGGATTCTATTTCTGTTCTTTAACCGTTTCAGAGGTACTGTGCCAAATTTTGGCAGTGGTTTTGCTGTTGCTTCCAGTGCCTCTTGGCGAATGGCGTCGACTCTATGTGTGCTGTGGTTGCGCATAGATGTCAGCTTCCGCAAACAGCTTTGGTCTAGTGATAACATTATATAACTAACAGTACATATTCTTGCATCCATTGTTGGGCGCTACGATCTATATGCGTACTGGCAAATATCTTCGGCGGAAGTGGCTGTAAAGATCCTTGGAATTGGCAGTTTGTCGAATGTTTTTAAAAGCACAGATTTAAACCCAATCGGGCGATACTTCTGAGTCCATTTCTCGATACTAGCGTTATTCTGGCCATCTCCAAATGTAAGGGATCCCAGTCATAGTGAGTCACTTGTTAAAGTGATCTGTTAACGGTACTATGAAAGAATCAGCAGAGGTCTGCTATCTTGACTTTAGCAAGGCTTTCGACTCAGTAAATCACCGTTTCCTACTTGAAAATTAGCATGGTTCGGAGTACATCCTAGACTTCTGTCTTGGGTGTCAGAATTCTCATATGGGAGAACGTTTCGAGTTAGAATCGGTGATGTGAGTTCTAGTTTGGGCGTGACTTACAGTGGAGTACCCCAAGGATCGGTGCTAGGTCCACTTTTGTTTCTTATGTTTATAAACGACTTGGCTCCTCTTAGTGAAGACCCCTGTTATATCTTTGCGGATGGCTTGAAGCTAGTCAGCAGGGGAAACTGTGCAACACTGGCCAAGTATATCATCAGTGTGGTAAACTGGTCGAAGCAATGGGACTTGCCCTTGAATGCAAGCAAGTGCCAAATTCTGACCACTAGTAGAGACGTACTTGCAGTTCAGACTTCCTCTGGGCCCTTCCCCTTACAATGCACTACCCAGGCACGCGATTTAGGAGTCATCATGACCAGCAGCTTCAAGCCTTCGATGCAATGTCAATACGCCGCCAACAAAGCGCGACGAGAATTGTTTCGCCTCAGGAAGGCTCTGTGTAATACCAAGCCAGAAGTGTTCCTGCCACTATACAAAGCAGTGGTTAGGCCACACTTAGAGTATTGTGTTCAAGCTTGGTCGCCCTATCTCCGTGGTGATGTTCTTTGCCTGGAGAAGATTCAAAGACTAGCAACCAGGATGGTTGAAGGTCAACGGGGGAAACCGTATGAAGATCGCCTAAAGAGCCAGGGGTTGTTTTCCCTTGAACGGCATAAATTGAGAGGGGATCTGGTAGAAACATTTAAGATCATGAAGGGCCTCAGTGCCATCGTGCCCTCTGATTTATTTGAGCTGGCTGATTCTGAACACTTGCGTGGACATCGCTTGAGGCTCAAACAGCAGAGGGCTAGACTGAACGTCAGGGCTAAGTTCTTCTCGAATGGTGTAGTGCGCAACTGGAATAAGTTGCCTTCGGAACTAATGGATTGTGAGACTGTGGTTGCCTTCAAAACAGGCCTAGGCAGGTGCTGGCCGCGTATTTTTCCGGAATTAATATAATCCTATCCAATTTATTCCCATTGATATCCGATGTTGATCCTTGTAAAAGCAAAGATTGTTCTCGCTTTTGCTTCATTTCTTTTTGCAGAGGCAAGGAGAGGCGATCAAAAGCCGAAGTGCCCGGGCTCTGGTTCGCTTACCGGTACAAGAAGCTGGACGCTCGTTAGGCGGAAGCCTGTATCGTCCACGGATTTTGACCTGACCTGACCTGAAGCAGCACAGTCACGTAAGCTAATGGTAATAGAGCTTCCAAACCACTTGCTACGTTTGAGTTTAATCTTTTGACTATCTTATAAAACTTGTTTTGCTATAAGGGTGCCTCCGGACTTGAGTTAATTAAGGAAGACAGGGGGATAGGCTTGGTGAGGCGGAAGCGAAAGAATTTAATTTGTCAACATCTACCTTACCTCTCTGTCTGCAGACGCTCTCATTACAGAGCTGTCTCAAAATCCTCCTAATACAGCTTTGAGGTACAAGTATTTTAGCCATTTTATCTCGGATTTAATTGCTAAGGTTAGGCTCTTGACAAGAGTAGTCATCTTGCACTTGTAAATCAATTATTTCATCCTTCGAAGTCACTTTACCAATGGTGCTGTAAATCTGTCCGTCCTTATGTAGATCGTTTCAACTGGACAATACATATCAACGCACTAGTTGATGTGGTCCGTAAGATGGTCACCTTGACGCCTTGGATACTAGACAAAGTAGTGTAGAAAAACAAAGTAGTAATTCACAATTACTACTATTAGCAAGTGCGTTAAGAAGAAACCACGCGGAAAGCATGCAAACGCAGCGTTGCATAATGAGTAGACGGCCAGCGTAGCCCAAGATATTCGCACTTTAGGGAAAAAGATTGTAGTGGAGAATGTTAAGCATATAAAGTTAAATACCTATGTGTCTTTAGTTTTGTGGACTTCAGGATTACATAACCTAGTCTCTGTCATTTGGTGATGACGCAGTGTGAAGGCCACCTTAAGTGCGTTTTCGTTATCTACGCCTTTGATGGTAAGCAAAATCGTTAGCACGTTTCAAACTAGCGATTGGCTAGTGATAAAGGGAAATCGCAACTTACGCATGCTCTGCCAGGCGTCCGTCCATCCGGAAAAAGTGGAGAGCGGCCTTGTACTGCCTCAAACCGTCAAGGCAGAGACCGATGATGTGACAAAGATCGGCCTGAACTCGCCATTTTAAGGCCACCGGCTTCAAACCTGGCCAGTCGTCTACCGCGCACAGAATTTGGACCGCCAGTTGGGCTGCCTGGTCGTATTGAGAGCTCACGTACACTGAAATATCGAGACAATGAGGTGAGTACTTTTAGAATTGTGGATTACATCGCGTATTGTCAGTTAATTGCTGAAAACCGCCTGTTACATTATAACTTGAAAGATTGCTAGTGCGTACGAAACGAACCTAAAGCCAGCGGACAAGAGTTAATAAAGCGCGACTAAAGTGAGCTCATCAAAACGTAAGGTTTGTAGGGGGTGCTGCATAAGTGATTAGATCTGCTACATACCAAATATATGTTGGCTGCAGGCCTGTGTGAAAAGATTGGCCCAAGCAACAGAGAACCAGCAGCGTAAGATGGGATAGTACCTGACCAACTGAGCGAACGGATCCAGTAAGGGACAAGAGGGACAGAAATAGAGTCCACTCACGAGGGCAGGTAGTAATTTCACAGACCAAATGGATGACGTATAATGAGCGTTGCCTAGCACGAGCAAGGCTGGGCTAAGAAACAATAAACTCACTCTTCCATAAATAATTCAGGACAGTATTCGCGGTCTGTTCTTTCTCATCACGCTGCACGCCCCGGATTTTGGTCACCGTTCCGCCGGTTACAGCTTGGAGTAAGTCCCATCTATTGTGGCGCACGCTGACCTCGTACCCCTCAGTAATGCGCGATAATTCATCTGCAAAATGAAAAAGAAGTACTGGGAACAACATGTCTTTACTCCCCTAATTCCACTCATATGAACATGATTCAATTTGCATCAGCGATTTAAACAAACCATCATTCAGGTCTGACTACGCGTTCAAGGTAGCTGACCGTATTAAGGCTCAAGCTGAGTACAGACTTAGTGTATATACAGTACGTTATGTAGACTAAGATGATAAACTGTTACGGAGGCGAAACAGCTGACTACGATGGTGCACACTAGCGGGGCGAGATCGGCCAGATCATGTGAGCGGCTGACAGGCTCGTTGTCACGGTCAAATCGGAAGCTGACGAAATCAGACCGTCGTAGCCGCACGGGTTGCTATGCTGCGGACATGATGCTACCTACAGTCAGAGAGAGATGGCCGCTACCCGAGTCGAATATGTTCAGACAAGCGGTGTGACACACCTCAGTGATAGAGGCGAGGTAAGCGTACGTGACCTATGAAAGTAGCCATGTTTTGTGCCTAAGATCTTCGGTCTAGCCGGCTCAGCGTTATGTTTTCCCCGGCTGGTTGGTAGCGCAGAGAGGCAGAGAGAGGCAAAAGGTCAGCGTTACAACCTACCAAGCGACGATGGTGACACTGAAATGACCGTGTAATACTTCAAAAACAATTATTAAGCTACTACCCAACCTCGGCATTTCTCATGATGACGCGTGCACATCCGTGATTTGCCCACTAAGCAACCACAAATGAAATCTGGCTGGTCAATATTTTGACCATGAATTCGAGACAAAAACCTTTGCACTGGCACTGTCTCACTTATTGGTAGAAGGTCGCAGTACATTGAGGAAACATGTTTTCCGAAACAATCTTAGCTTCATCCAGCTTGTGGGATTAATTCTTGGTAGCCGTAGAATTTCGGCCCAATATATGAGCGCTTCTGTGGCTTTCATCGTGCATGGGCCCAGACTTGGCGATCGTTGTTCGGCTGCATTCGCACACTCTCCTCGTATGAGTTTTCAGCTCGCAACCCAGGTCATGTTAACGCAATTGGGCTTTAGGTACCCGAACAAATGCATTCTCATGTAAAGGACAAAATGGGACATAATCATGACTGTCATTCCAACGGTCGCTCACGCAGCATGTACATTACTGTGGTTTTCTGTTATCTTCGTTGTCCATTTGCAGCCCGGCCTTCCTAGTTTTTATATGTTAGTGACTAATGTTCTACGGGTCTTTTGTAAGCCTAATAATATTCATCGCGTCCCAGCAGAAGGAACTGTTACTTTGTGTTTCTCGTCCTAAGCGGAAGAGCCTCGATTGCTCTATGTTCTACTGCGTCGTAAAATCAAAATTATTGACGTATTCAAGTTTATATATCGAATCAACAATATCACACATGAAGGGGCAATGCTTGCTCTACACAACTGGACTGTGGAATTTGACATCCGCTTTTCCTCCAATGCTACATTACTGTTCGTCCGTCCCTATTTCACAAGACATAGCAGCTATAGCCTTCAATACAACATCGCCTGAAGGGAAGCCAATTATGGTGATATGGCATTTTCAGTCCCCAAGCCCCTCTATGTCAACAATCGCCCGCTTTATTGTTTGTTCAGAAAATGTCAATACGAAAACACATAGTATATAGGGCGAACGTTCCATCAACATCGGACTCTGATTGTTAGATCAGGCACTTACCTTTTGCTAGTTTCCGCACTTTCTCACTTGTATCATTCAACGAAGCCAGAATAACTGAAATGGTGCCGACAGCGTAACAGCGTAACGTTAGTTTCATTTTCGGGTCTTAGGGAAATGAATCGCAGAACCAGTGCAACTCATTTCATATCAATCGGTTTCGTATGTTTACGAAAAATAAATTTGATGTTAATTGAAATTCAGCGCGTTTTGGTTCAGTTCGGTTTTCAAAAGTGAACTTCGGAACAACAAACTGCCGGTTCTAGTTCAGTCTTAAAACCGGGTGGAGTCATATTTACGTAGTTTTATGTATGTTAAAGTAATTAGCCTCAGGAGTACTCTACAATGACGTAAGGTGCACCAGTTACAATCAGACTCAGTGGGTGCATCATGTAGGTATCAAAGAATGTGTGTCAGTTCTCCTGCAACATCGACATCAAAGCTACCGAGTGTAGGGCACGCCAAGTTGATCACGTTGGCTTGTGCGATACAACTCCGAGACCATCATCGTTGTCGTTGCAGTCGCCAATCAAGCAAGTACAAGATTGAGATTACCTCATCATACGAATGCAGATGTTTAACTCGTCCAACTCCCGGTCTGCGTGAAACCATGCCCTGATTACACGTAGCGTATAACTAGCACGATCGGTAGTGTTCTAATAACAGAGGCACCACTACCGAACTGAATCACACTTGATTTGTCGGTAATAAAAATGCAGCTAATAAATTTGTCTAATAAGCTTTCATCTGTGTCACACCGTACGGCCGAACTCCAACCCGGCTCTTGCTTCGCCTGCTGTGCTAATTCCAATTCCCCTCACACATTCTTGCGTGCGCTCCTTCTAACCAGTTCGACCAACGCTGCACATACCTTCCCACCTCTTAGACTTAAGTTGTGTAGATCATACTGTTGCTCCAATTCTCAGTTTTGGCACATTCTTTGTCCAGCTCTACGGGTGTAATTACATCACTCCTGAACTGTACGGGAATAAGAGGCTTAGAACTCTCAAATAATCCTGCAACGGTCCTTGCAAGCTGTAGTAACACAAAGGTGGGGGATATTTTATGTCGTTGATCTATGGAACATCGCGTCCGAATCATTTAAGGACGCTTGTCAACGCCCTGCTTGCATCGTCGCGTAATGCGAGGCAATCAATACACGCCGCATCTTTGTATATGCGTGGGCGCACAACCGCGAGACGGCCGATCGCTGAATCTGGTACGCTGCGCGTGACCGCGAGATAGAAACAGTGTGACAGCCATCTATCTCGGCAAATTGACTTTGCTGATGAATAGTAGTGAGGATTTTTGTACAATTCAGCTAATTCATCATCGTCACTCCCAATCAGCAGGATTAGGCTAGTCTGGAAAAGCACCAGACGCCGGCAGAAAAGTGAGTTGGTGCCCACCAGCGTTGGATCAGCCATGGATGCAAATAGACCAAATCGCTATCAGTTACAGTTGGAGAGACCGTGACCAAAATTGTCGCTCGATTTGGAGCAACAGCGTGGAGTTCGATCACACTCTTGTGTGTTCTGACCTTCAGGTGCGTTTCGACGAACGTCCGCAACGTCGCTTTGAACTCACTAGCCAGCTGGGGAAGCCAGGTGTTCTGAGTGCATAACAAACTACGCTGGCATCTGGGCTGAGTAGGCGTCCACTGAACGCCGTGGAAGATCACTGGTCGCATATTCGTTAAACGTTACTACCAGAAGACATGTCTTCATGTGGCAAATCAAACTGCCAACTTAGACATTGGGTCTCTACAACATCTCTGGGACTTATGGATGCTCGCCGACGTATTCCGGCTGGAAGCGAAAACAATGAGATCCACAAAAATTACAAGGCCTGACAAAAAGGTACGGAAAAAAGTTCCAATGGCATTCCAAATTTGTACTGCTCTGCCAGCTTGAAATGGTGGGCTCTCAAATTACTTTTGCCTGAGCTCTAGCAATCGCGGAACGTGTGGTTGGAATCTCTCAAACGCTCCGCTGACATACGGAAAACGTGACCGAACCATCTTAGCTGACGCAGCAAAACCAGCTTGTTAAGGGGCATACTCGCATTCCCTAAGACACAACTGTTACACTCAACCGAAATCAGAACAACAGTATTGTAAATGGAAGTTTAGTAGAAGTAAGGGCAATGGTACATCAGCAGTCCACACTGGGTAGACATCAACTGTTTGGTTTTGCAGTCCACACGTTTTGGCTAAGCACACTCTTTTTGAACCAATCAATAAGCGTCACTGGTTTGTCGGGAGATTTACACTCACGCACTAGCGCGCACAATGCGGCTCCACAGGCTAGGTAGTGTAACATGACGTTGACGCGCTCAACCTCTGCATCACTTCTCCCAGCTTTAGTTGGAGCTATCCAGCCTGGAAACGATCGACCGGTCGGCGTCGGCGCTCAGAGCGCCGCAATTGTGACTCAACTACCGGTTCAGCGTCACGCACGTGCATGTCGTTCGCTGCTTGAGCCGGCTGCTCTGTCTCGGCAACTGTTTCTGTGTCGGTCAACCTCGGTCGCACGTGATCTAAATGGCGTCGAACGATCCTGCCGTCCTCAGTCTCTGCTTTTATTATCTGTCCGTTAGTTGTTTTAACGACGGCTGGCTCTCACCCCGCGCCTGTAGGTAAGCGGATGTAGATGGGATCTGAATCTGTCACATGCTTGTCTCTGCTACAAGTATCAAAACGCTCTTTCACTCGTTGTTGTTTTTCCGAAACTTGTGGCTCAATAGATCCATGCAATAAATCCAATCGTGTACGCAGTCGACGGCCAAACATTAACTCTGCAGGGCTTCTGCCTGTGGTTTCGTTTGACATGTTTCGATATGCGAACAAGGAACGATCCAAACGCACACGTAGCGCAGCATTTGGTTGTTTTATTAGCAGTTTCTTCACTGTTTGTACGGCTCTCTCCGCCAACCCATTAGAAGAAGGATGATAGGGTGCAGTTGTTATGTGTTTAATGCCGTTCGAGTTGAGGAAGTTAGAAAACTCAACACTATATATATATATATTTGCAAAAGTCTGCTAACAAACATAATGCCATCAGAAACCATGGGTTTCAAACGAAGGTACAGAAACAGTAGAATAAAACACAACACAACAATGTCCATGGTTTCCTCAGAGGGCGAGATACTACCCGGTTGCCCAAGCCGAAGTAGGGTGTTGACTTAGGGGACACCACCCCGAGCCTTTGGCTGAATAGCCTGCCCGCAAGGCAGCGGAGCGAATTCAGGGAATCGCGCCCATTGGGAGCCGGTGACTGATTGCTCAGTTCATACGCCTTTCGTTTGTTCCTTTGTCAAACAGGGGCCCAATGCTCCCCAGAAGTACAGCATATGGTTGCTGGAATACAATGCTTCGCCAGGATGAAGCAAGGGGCAGTGACTTTATTTAGTGGCGAGTCACGTCCGCCACGTCACAGTGTTGTTAAACGGACATATGTGGCTTTTTATAGGGAGAACGCTTGCCAGGCGAAAACCCACCACGTCCTGGAACACTGCCGCCGAACCATTTGCTGGAACGGGAAAATCCCGAACCACCCAGCTGGCACCACGAGGAGGTTGTTCGGCAAGCCAGCCAACTCAACACTGGCGAAAGCTGGTCCATTGTCAGATACTAATGTCTCGGGAAGGCCAAATGTTGCAAACGTTGTGCGTAGTTTCTCTATAGTACCAGCTGAATTTGCTGAAACAAGAATATGGGCATCAATCCATTTAGAATGGGCATCGATGATTAGCAAAATCATCCGACTTTCGTAGGGACCGAAATAGTCTACGTAGACTCGTTTCCAGGGTGTTTCTGGCCACTTCCAAGGCTGCATTGGCGCATGAGGAGCGGCGTTTCGGGTCTCCTGACAAGGTCTGCAACTTCCACCTTCGCCACAATATCACGGTCCAATTCAGGCCACCACACATAAAATCGAGCTGACGACTTTGTCTTTGCGACACCTGGATGCGCATCATGTAGTTCGTCAAGGATACGTGACCGAAATTTCTTGGGGACAATAACTCGTGCGCCCCACAGCAAGCATCCATTCTGGAGGCTGAGTTCAGACATCCTGTTACGGAAGGGCATGAGTTCTTTGGGGGTGTTGTCCGGCCACCCAACTTGGACATAGCGTTTGATCAGCGATAGAACAGGGTCTCTGTCAGTTTCCTGACGTATGTCTGTACGTGTGACTGGGGAATCATTAAAATGCTGGACCAGGTTTACGAGCTCTTGTGGGATAAATTCTTTCGATGGTGTCTCTCGTAAGGGAAGCCGGCTAAGAACATCAGCGGTGGTATTCTGTTTGCCTGGAACGTACTGAATTTCGTATGTATACGCAGAAAGAATAAGCGACCAACGTACCATTCTAGGTGAAGCCATTTGTTGAATACCTTTCTCGTGGCCGAGGAGGAAAACAAGGGGTTTATGATCCGTATGGATCACAAAAGGTCGCCCGAGTAAATATTGGTGAAATCGAGTGGTGCCGAAGATGACAGCGGCTGTTTCTCGATCAAGTTGAGAGTAGTTCCGTTCTGCTGGTGTCAGGGTTCTTGAAGCATAAGCAATGGGACGTTGAGAGCCATCCGGTAATTTGTGCATTAAAACAGCTCCGAGACCGTAAGGTGAGGCGTCACAAGAAAGAACAACAGGCTTCTGCGGATCATAATGCACCAGAACATCTGTAGATGCTAAGAGCTTCTTGACGGCTTTGAATGCGTTTTCATGAGTATTGTTCCAATTCCAGCTTTGGTTTTTACGTAACAGCTGGTGAAGGGGATGCAGATGAGTTGCTGCCGATGGTATAAACCTGGAAAACTGAGTGACAACACCGAGGAACGACCGCAATTCATGAACATTTTTGGGTGCTGGCGCCTCAAGTAGCGCCTTTGTCTTTTCTTCCAGTGGGCACAATCCTTCACGTGACAACCGATAGCCCAGATACTGTACACTCGGAACAAGGAACTCACACTTTTCTCTTTTTAGAACCAAACCGGCATCCGATAACCGCCTCAGGACGACGTCCAATGTATGCAAGTGCTCGGCGGTAGTGCGT